ATCTCGGCGGCGGCGGAGGCGCTTGTGCCCCCACCGTGGCGGTTTATGTTATGGCGCTTGTATTTTCATGCGTTGTAGACTTTTAGTTGCTCTGTGCTTATTTTACATATTCAGTCCAAGGGTTTATTCGCTTCGTGGAAAATTTGTATATTTTCTTGAGTCAATCAATAATTCTCACGCCATAAATAAAAAAAAAAAGGAATCACCTCTTCTAAGCTTTCATAGCTTCAAATGCTATACATACATATACTTATTATATACATGTATATATAACAGCGGGAAATGCTCTTTCTGGGCTTAGATTGGGTTTTATTGGGCCTAAAAGGCCCATCTACGTCTCTTGTATCTTGGCGCTCTGTGTGGTAACTGGCCATTAATCCGTTTTGTCAGATTATATTATTGGTAACAACCTAAGATTGTCGGTGGAAACTGGACTCGAAAAAGAGAGATCCGAACCATACACGTGGCGTTCCAGTTTTAGAAGCCCCAGGCTGGCCTGAAGATTCCGAAAACACCCCTCAATTCTACTGTAAACTACGAATTTACCCCCTTACCGACACTGCTGTGATGCCACGTCATAGTCGATCTAACGGTTCTCTTTGACGTCTGTCCGTTTCTCCTGCTGCCTTGATTCAACAAGAAGAGTCGGATACACTGGCACGTGACATGTTGGATTATTCGTATAAAAAATAAAAAAACGGTACATTATATTATATAAAATCCCATCTAAACCCATATAGATAGCGTGTTTGATTGAACTGTATGATGAATCACATCAGATGGAAAAGAACCTCAACTAAACAAATCCAATAAAATATGATAATAATTAAGTCCGTAGGAGTTTAGTAAATTGATTTTTTTCTTTTAATACTAAGATATAATAAACCTTATACTAAAATAAAATTATAAAATGCATGTAAGCATTTATGGAATCTGCAATGGCTTTAGGAATCTCCAATGGCGTTTCCGTAATTATTTCCAAGTCCAGGCCCATTTCAGTTGCATCTTTCTTCGTTTTCTTTTCCCGCAGTTTAAGCTCCTCGAGCTCACTTTCCCCTTCCTTCGCTCTGTAAACCCAAAAACCTTTCTCTCTCTCTCTCTCTGAGCTTCGATTTCAATGGCGGCAATGGCGAAGAAGACGAGAGAAGCTATCGTCTCTCTCATCCTCACTCTCTCTCTACTCTTCGCTGGTGAGACTCGCGCGCACAACGTCACGCGCCTCCTCGCGAAGCACCCGTCCTTCTCGACCTTCAACCATTACCTGAGCGAGACCCACCTCGCCAACGAGATCAACCGGAGAACCACCATCACCGTCTGCGCCGTCGACAATGCCGCCATGTCCGACATCATCTCCAAGGGCTACACCATTTCCACCGTCAAGAACATCCTCTCCCTCCACATCCTCCTCGACTATTTCGGCGCCAAAAAGCTCCACCAGATCCGCGACGGTTCCGGTGTGTGTGACGAGCTTTTTTGC